GATTTATGCAAACAAAATACAGCCTCACCTCAAATCCTTGTCCGGAAAGCACTTTGGGTAACAGAAATCTATATGATGGCTCTAAAATCAATTTTCAACATCGACAATAAATTTTGAAACTAAAAAACTTGTACAAATCGTATGGATCTATGAATAATTATTTTTAGGGCGAAATGGATTGTCTAGATAATTTGTTACAATATATATTATGTTTAGAGCTTGAAATCCTATTTTCACAGAATCTATGAATACTTATTCTTAGGGCGAAATGGATGGTCGAGATAATTTCTTAGGGTGAAATGGATGGTCTAGATAATTTATTACGTTATATACTATTTTTAGAGTTTGAAATACTTCTTTTTTTTTATCTTAAGGCGAAATTGATGGTCTAGATAATTTATTACGATATATACTATTTTTAGAGTTTAAATTATTATTTTTTTTAACATAATGTTCCAGCTGAGATGATTGAGTTGCAATTTTCAATGTTCGATGAGTTATGAGGGAGCTTTACTTATTTTGATAGAGTTGCAGTTCTATCAGATGATTTTCCTTATTTATTATCGCAACCCTCTCTCTCTCTCTTTTCTCTAACAAGATCATTTTCCTTATTTATATCGCAACCCTCTCTCTCTCTTCTCTCTCACGAGAAGGTTACTGGAATTTGAGACGTTTGCCTATGAAACCCAGCCTCTACGTCTTTGACCCAAACTGTGATTAAAACAATTGAAACAAAAGGCTAGTATTGCATGATGATCACACAAATATCCATCATGAGAAATTCAGTACATGCAATATAGATTAGACAAAAAAAATTTCTAAATATCTATCATGAGAAATTCAATACATGCAATATAAATTAGACAAAAAAACACTTAATCACCTTATTATTGACCATCTATTCAGAATCTATGTTAATTTATTAAATTTAAGAGAAAATTACGTATATATATATGTTATAGTTTTTGTTATTACCAAAATACCAAATAGTTTTCGTTGTTATTGGAATGTCTGTTTTTTTTTCACTTCATAACAAAAAATTTAAAAATATACTTTTTTACTCTTTTTTTGTTTTTGAATGACCGAAAATAAGCAGAAGATTGGAATTTGCATTCTTATTTTCCGTTGTTGAACAACCGAAAATATCGTGTTTTCGGTTGTTTAACATCGCAAAATGTCATATTTTCGGTTGTTCAACATCCGGAAATGTCATATTATGACAGAAGCTTGTAATTTGCATTCTCATTTTCGGTTGTTCAACAACCAAAAATATGACGTTTTCGGATGTTGAACAACCGAAAATAGAACATTTTCGAATGTTGAACAACCGAAAATAGAACTGCATATTGCAAAAGCTTAAACGAACCCCGTTATTTTTGGTTGTTCAAGAACCAAAATTAGCTTATTTTTGGTTTTTGAACAACCGCAAATCCAGCCATTTCGATTATTCAAAAACCGAAAAAGAGTAAAAAAAATATTTTTAAAAAAATTTTCGTTATGAAGAGAAAAAACGAACATTCCAGCAATAATGGAAACTATTTGGTATTTTAGTAATAACGGAAATTATAACGGATATATATATATATATGTAATTTTTCCTAAATTTAAATATGAATTTTTGTTTTTGATAAAAATTTTAAATTTAAATACGGATTTTATGTTGTCTATATGCTTCCTTTTGTTTTTTATGACAATTTTCTGTCCTGTATGCTTTTGAGCAATATTAATGGTGGCTTCACTATGAAGAATCATCATCCACAACCTCAAGATGACTATCAAGAAACCTTTTAACATGAGCACATGTAAAAAAAAAGTTGGTAGCTAGTTATGTCCCCGCAATTTGGGATCGAAAAGTACCCCTAGACAGGGCTTTCCCGCTGTGGGCTCTCCCGCTCCGAAACCCTTTTCCGGCGCTCAATGTCCAGGATCTTGATTTGAACTCGTTTTAATTTTTTCGAGAGCTGACTCCTAATTAGAAGATTCTCGATCACATTCACAATGGATCTAGATCCCACTATTCCTCGGAACACGTTCCTTAAAATTGTAGATCCCGTTCCTGAATAAATTAGAACCCCGCTCTCAGAAGTTTACGAGCGTGATCTCTACGCTCCCGAAACTCCATCCTTATAAGGTACTACTTTTATATACTTTTTATTTGAAATTGCCTTTATTCTAAAGACAATAAATTTTTTGTAATTTTGAGTAGAATTGTTTTACCAATTTTTAACTTCCTAAAAGAAATTTTTTAAATAAAATGAACTTTTAAAATAAAATAAATATATTTTAAGCCAAATTTTCACATTGTTTTTCCAACCTAAAATGACGATAAGGCATTTCCCAAATTTCAAACTTAGCCAAACATGAGCAATACATGCCGAAGTTGCATTCAGATGGTACCCAAACAATAACATTCCATTTTCAGAAAATATATTACTCCAGTAATGTACTATACTAATAATTTGTTTCACAAGCAATATACTTTCAGGTGCACAAATGCCAACGTGGCACCTATTTGCACATCATGTATGAGATTTTGAACAATAATAGCATTGATTATTTCATGAATATAATTGTATAGAGCATTGAAAGAATATATTTTATACAACATTAATGGAATTTAATTAATCCATGGACATCTAGGATTGGATGTGCATGGATCTAGCCCCATGGGCCATTGTGATGTCCAGTGCATGGATCTAGCCCCATTGGCCACTACTAGATAGAACAATGGTTTCTAAAATAAACCAAAAAGAGATCGCGTTTTTAAGAGAACGGGTTGTTGTGCTTAGTGGGAGTACTAATCCATGTATAATGGAGTTAGGTTCTTGACATAAGTGGAGTTCTGCGATAGAAGCACAGCCAAATTATGCACCTAACGTGATTCTTCTTTGAATGGAGCTCAAACATTTCTAAATAGGAATGCGCTCATTCTTCGATGAGAGTGTGACTCAACTTCAAATGAAATCTCAATCCTGTTATCGATAGGAGCGCGATCTTAATGAATATGAGAACACGATCCCATTTGACATGGAACGCGTACCCGTTAAATAAGGATCTAGATCCTAATGTATTGGGAACGTGCTCCATGTTCATACAGGATCTTGACCTACTACTTTTATTCTCACCCGAACTCTCTCCCCGAGCTCTGAAGCTTTGGGCAGCCGTCCATACAACACTCTTGCTCTCGAAACCGAAGTCGTTCTCGCTCTCACTCCTGGTTCTCGAGGTGAGTACTCAACCCATGCCCCATCCCAGTACTCGACCAAAGCAGTGCTGAGTACGATAGCAGCAAAAAAAAAAAGTTAAAAATTATATATATATATATATATATATATCAAAAAAAATCAAAAAATAGCATCAAAGCAAGGTAAAAAAGTAGTAAAAACAAATAGATTTTTTTGAAATAATCCAAAAAAGATGAAAAAATGTAAAAATAAGTAATTATGGCAAAAACAGTTTCCAATTTTTTCCAAATGATAGTATATATATAAATTCCTTATTTTGTTAGATTTTTTATTTTTATTTTTCATATCCTCAAGTAAGAGACCCGGCCGACCCTGAGAACTCGGCACTCGGACTGACTAGTTAAATGCTCATTTGAATCCATGCTCTTTGGTAGGAACAGATTTGCTACGTAGTGAACGAAGCCCAAGTGTACTAGGAATAGGGGCTTTGGTAGGAACAGATTTGCTACGTAGTGAACGAAGCCCAAGTGTACTAGGAATAGGGTCTGGGTTTAAGGGAGGACTACTTAGTATACGTGACCCCTGGTCTCAGCCGTCAGATTTAAATAGATGGCTGAGATGGCTTGAGTCTAACCATCAGATCTTGCTAAGATGGCTTATATTTTTTTTTTATTATTATTCTACAAATAATTCGAAGCAAAATCTTGGACATGTATAGATATGACAAGGTGCACATGATAAAAACAATAAAAAAAATATTTCCGGTGATGAAAAATTACCAGAATACCCTTGAACATTATAGGGGCATTTTGGTCATTTATTTATAAAGAAAAAAAAATTATTTTTCTAGGTTCACCCTACTTTTATGATGGGACGCCAAAAATTTCATCTAAAAATATTTTGTAGAAAAATAAATAAAAAATAAAACAATGTTTGGCATGACGTTGTGGTATAAACAATTGTAGCCGTTCAATTAAGATCGAACGGCTAAGAAGTGAGGTCACATATTACTTATATGTTGTTGGGTCACATAGAAACATTCCCCTAGGGTCAATTGGTTAGCAGTTGACCTGTGTAATGCTATGTATTAGGTTCTACTCTTATACTGACTTACCAAAAAAAAAAAAATGTGTATTGGATATTTGAAATTGAAACATATAGTGGCTATGGTGTATCTAGACCATTCATTTTCAGAATTTTCAAGAGTTTATAGACGGTGTGATTGTACCATTATCAGAGTTTTAAATTTCATAATTAGAAGAAGATAAATTTCCATATCGGAAGAAATAATGGCATCAAAGTTACATATCTAAACAAGATTTGGATCAAATGGAGTATGTAGAGTCAAAATTGGACCAGGCAATCATTTTGAGCATTTTCAAGGCTCCCAACCATTTCTTATAATGATGTTAAAATTTGCTACATCATGACTATATAATTTTTTACCTTAAATATAAGAAAAAGTGTCTTGTGAGTCAGCTGACTCACTGGTCCATACAATCACAAACGTCCATCTTACATGAACATTCACAACTAAAGATTCTATCTAAAATATTTTAATAAAATATTTATTTTATTATATTTTATTTTCTATATTCATGTAGATCATGGATCAATATAAATTTGGATCTAAGATCGATACAAATAATGGGCTTTCAAGGGAACCCACACCAAAATAGTATGAGTCGGAGGACTCATAAAAACCGGGTCCTAAATATAATGGTGATATGCACCAAAATATTATGGAAGTTACCCTTGTAAATAACCACAATATGCTTTATGTTTGATTTTGTAGTTATACATAGATAGGTAGAGTTCATAGAATACAACCATTACATTGCTAGCATCCCTCCACATTAAAGTTTGTTGAACGTCCAACCAACAACATAGTATCCTCTTTATTTGGCTTCTTCATGCAATAAACTGCATATAAACAGTAAGGATACATGGAGGGACCATATTGTACTGCTAGAGAGAGAGAAAGAAATGAGTAGGACCCAAGGAGGAGTTGTGTTGTTGGTGAAGATGTATGGTTTATGAGGACTTAGAATCTTGGGACTTGGTGATTTTGGCTCCTAGTATGACAAGGCCACCCTTCCATTGCTGGCTCCACACCTCATACAATCCAAATATCATATCATCCTCTAAGTTAGCAGGCGTTGTGAAGGATACGGATCCTAGTTCTAGGGGAACCGTCTGTTCTTTTGACTTCTGCAAATCCACCTGCACATAGTCCACGGGTTCTTTGTTCTTAAACCAGACCACTACATACACCTCCACATCCTTCCAACCAAAGGCGTCGGGTTTCCAGATTATGTGAAACGTGACTTCGTATTTCGTGCTCGGTAGAAACATCTTTGCCGGGACCCGTGCGCTCACCTCTAGCCATGACACTTGCAGTAACTCCGCTACTGTCTCGGTGCTATTCGATTCGCTATGCTCCACCAAGAATGTCGACAAGTAAATCAAACGTAAGGAGAAGATGAAAATGTATCTTTATAAGATTGGTTAATTGAGAGTTCAAGATAGTCACAATCATCGTTAGCCGTTTCCTATGAAAATGGTATATGATTTAGGGTGTACCATTTGTCTCCACAAAGTCTAAGGTAAATTTAATCAGACTTTGAATGTAACCATTATGCATTTTCAAAAGAGTCCGAAATTCAAAAATAGAGTATCAAAAACTTTATTTTGGCACCATTCACCAACATGAATTTTGATTCTTTCCATATCTGCATTAATTTTTGAGTTGCAACATCCTATATGTAACTGAAATTACATCTTAAGTGACTTAAGATGCGTTCCATATCAAATCCCAATGAATTTCTACCGCTGAACCACACTTGAATAGGGCCTCACACCATTTTATATATGACGGCAACCTGAGTTTCGGATGAAAAGTTATTGCGTTCCACATTGTTTATCTTAATTATATTATAAAGATTTGACAAGTCTTTTAAAACAATACGTAGTTTATAATCTCTCCCCCTTTTACTCTAGTTTTTTGAAAATGCATTACTTATGCTTTACAATCTCTCTACCATCCTCTCTTTATAAGTCCATCTAAATAACCCAATTCACCATGATCAAAATAAATCATCCCAAGCAATTAAAATGCACATCTTGTTTGTAAATTTCATAAACCCATTATTTCCCTCATGCTATCTTCATTAGTTGAAATTGAGGCAAAGATAATCGAAGGATGTAAAACTAAGTTGTCAACTTTTAAACATGCATGTTTGGTTAGATCCTTCAATTAAGAAGAGAGCAAATAATGACATTCTAAAATGGTATATGATTAATCTACAATAAGGTAACTACTCAAATTTTGGTGGTCTACTTTAAACTGTCACTAAAATAAAAATATGAAAAACAGCAATAACGTTTTTCAAGTCTACTTTTTTAGTCTTATCGCCTATTGGAGCTACTTTTAAGTTTTTTTGTATCTTTTATTTTAAATTCTATCTTTTTCTTATCTTACCAATCATCCATATTAACACCATTATTTCAATTACACCCATTCTATAAATATATTGTTTCTTGACCGCCTAACATTTTGTCTTATAAAATACAGATGATCTTAAAGCAATCATATAAAGCTTCCCTTTTAGTTTTACAAATACGGAAGGAATAGCAACAAACAAACATAATTTCTATTTTTTGAGGGGCAAAGGTAGAAATCATGAATTAAAGCTTAATCTCATGATGCACCAAGCCAATTGGTACAGAGGGTTTGACATCCAGGATAATGACTCAAAAGAGGTGTTCAAAGGAAAGATCTAGAGAATGGGTCATGCTCTAGCATTAATTATCATGGGTTGATATTGCGCCTACAGCATGTGGACGCTTAAAAGGTGCACATGCACTTTTTAATGGTTCAGATTGAACCAAGCTCATCCAAGGGCCAACAATGAATCTCGTTTTTTTTTTTTATTATTTAAAAATATTAATCTGACATTTGGGTTTTAAGTTAATTTATATAAGTAAGATTGAATAAAATTAATAAAAAATATTTTGCATAAAAATATTGATCAAAATAAATTTAGAAGTATTTTGGTGATTAAAAAACTTATTTAAAATATTTTTTACACATTTTATTTGGTTGTACTTTAAAAATACACCTACAATCAAACATTCACATATCTTATTTAAATAAAAAATAAGAAACGAGACTAATTTTCGGCCCTCGAATATGGCCGATCTCAGCATACTCGTAAAAAAGAGAACCAAGTAGCTGAAAAAATAAAATAAAATTATTACCCAGTTATTTTGCCCCTGGGAATCCAACGCCAATAACGTTCGTCTCCTCCCCATGCGATGTCAAGATCCGTGGCTTTGAGGACCTTCGATTCAGTAATCTGCTCCTGAAAATGCAAAAGATTTGACAATTTCATTCAAAAATCATACATTTAGATTCACGCTAGGCATAGTTATCAGATCGGATCCAACTGTCTAGTCAGATCATCAATAGAATTTTTTATCGGTCTGATCTAAAGCAAAAATCAAGTTTAATTGAAAATCGATTAAACATTTGACCAGTTTTAACTGGTGACCAATTTTGACTGGTCCGAGGGCTCTTTTTGGTAATATATTCGATGTGTTTAAAGTACATTTGATCGTAAACTGATTTTCAAAATTTATTTTTTTTACTAATTTTTTTAACCGTATTTAGATCTGTTTTGTTTAATCTTACTTTAAACGTACTTCCTACTTTTTGGATTCTTTTGTATTTTAAATTTTTTGAACACCTTTTTTGCTGCTACATTACTCGGGCTGAGTTACTAGTATCAATCCAAGTCAAAAAAAATATTAAGTTTGTGAAGTGTTTTAAAAATCGGTAATCTTGTTCCGGATCTGGTGGGTGGCTTGGCCGATACCCTTTAGGAAAAAAATATCAGCCCTAATATGTCATATTTTTTTCCATGTGCTATACATTTACATGTTTTCGTTTATGATTTAAACTCAAAATCATTAAACACAACTATCTCCTATGTATGTATTCATGCAACTTTTTCTCTTTTTTCTTTTTATAAGTTTATTTATCTTTGGGTTGAACCACCGATTCACCTCACCCGATCGGTCCCAAAGGCCGATCCGATTTTTAAAACCCTACAGTTAAATGAAAAATTATTTTCAGAATTGTTGTAAAAGAATTCATATAGGGAAAGATGTCATTACATGGGAATGACAAAATCCTGCTCTGTCAAAAATATTTATATAAAACCTTAGCAAAATGTCATTAAAGCTACTTGATCAAGCATAGGAAATCAAGAGTCATTTTGTTCCAATTTTGGCACACTTTTATATTTCTTTTCAATTTTCTTTCTATTTTTTTTGTCTTTCCAAATCGCAAACAAATTTCAAGCAAAGCTTTAAAGAGTATTACCAAGATAACATGGAAAAGAAATTTATGCATTGGGAGGCAATTCTTTTTCTTTTTCTTTTCTATTTTCAATATACATGAATCTCTATGTTCATTGTTTGAAGCGTTCATGGATCGAAATATCACATAATGGATATGTTTTATCAATATCGGACCTGACCAAACCAGCTAGTCAAATCTATGACCTGTCCCTTCTCTAGTTTGGTCTGAAGCAGAAACCAGACTTTTAACTCAATAAAAATGGTGATAAATATATTCGACCGGTTTTGAGAAGTTGGTCTATCCTATTCTGACTAGATTCATACCATCAAAACAAGGTTATACAACTAGATTTCATATTTTTAAACTGCTATTTTGATTGTAATTTTATTATATTAGACCTCTCAACAATTTGATAGCTTATTAAAATAACACATAGCACTGTAATGCATGCCCATGCCGCATGCATGTGGAATCAGACACCTGCAATTTGTGGGCGTATGCCATCTACCAATGTATGTATGTATGCATGTAGATGAAACTTACATTCGAATCATGTTTTGTGGTAGAACGGTAGTGGCTTGCCATGATGGATAACTGGAGTGCTGAATGAGAAATCAGGTTGAAAGAATTTCTAGATTTATATAAGAAACAAACATCGTGCATAAAGCATGGAATCGAATAAATAAAAGGAGCAAAGTGGACTACACAAGTGGTACCTTACTGTGTGCGTGAGCAAGCATCTTTCGCCTTTTGTGAAAAAGTAGAGCGTGTTTAAGGCGCGATTTACAGCTTCCACATTTATTGCTAAGTGTTTTTGTTTTATATAGAGACGAGGCTCTAAACAATCAAATTTAAGCCTACCTCAAAACTTTCACTAGAAGATGTTGTTTTGATGCTCAAATATCTTTAAATTGATTATCTCGACATTAATGCATGGGCATGAGAAAAAAATGGATTTCAAGTTTGGGAAATAGTGTGTTTTGTAAAGCATTTTTGGACTGTCAATTTTCAAGTTTTCATAGATATATCAATCTACATTATTTTTGAAGCTTTAAACCTTATAAATAAATATGAAAATATATTTTAAAGCTATCACAAAGATTTCTAGTATTGGAACTGCATTTCTCGATACCATTTGTAGGTAAAAAGTTAGTGTACACTTAACTATCATTGGAGCATGTGATATTATCTTATGCTAATGTAAAATGCTCCATTGTTAGCAAGTTCATCAGCATCCAGCCACTAGTTGGATGTGTTACAGTTTTCTTCTCATCGCATCGCATCGTCCTATTTTCTTTTAGCCCCATTAGGAGCGCAGATTTTGATAAAAGCAAATTAAGAATTTATCAAAATACCTATAAACGATGAATTCAGTGTTTAAAAAAATGCCGAGTCGAACCGGACTCTCAGTTCGATTCGGGAATCGCCATGGACGGTTCCAATCGGTGAAAAAAACGGGAATCGTCCGGTTCTAGAGAGAACTGGATGATTCGGTACAGTGACTCGCCGATTCACTGTACGGAATCGGCGAGTCTCGTATGGAATAACATTAAATTTTTTTTATTTTTTTTTTTTTTGTTTTTTGGTAATCCATGATAGATTTTTTTGTAATACTTGATCGATTTTTTTGTAATCCATGATCGAATTTTTATTTTATTTTTTTTGTAACCCATGATAGAATTTTTTGTAATCCATGATCGAATTTTT